AGATCGAAATGACGGCGTTCGGGTTCTTGATCGACCCCCACTGCGCAATGATCTTCTCGTCCCGATCGCGCACAAAATTATGTGCGAGTCAATTGCCAGGTAGAAATGCTCGTACATGATGGCCTATTCCGTCTCGTACCGCGCAGTAGTGGGCCCCTACACAGTTGGCAGACGACTCTGGTATGGAAAACGCGTATTAATCCCGTGAGAATTTATCCCTGAATGAGACAGGGCTGTGTTCACTTCTGTTGTTATGCATTCAGTGGTTAATGACGCTGAAAATGGCGTCATGCACGATTTAAAGAATGTTCTGAAGACTACGGCCTTAGTGGTGATTCCACTTGGTGAGTTAAAGTTCCAATTTACACTGCATCTGATCAAACATAAACCCATCAGCAGCAAGTAAGTCAATAGCCGCTCCCAAAGAAAAGCTACCAGACGCCACGTCAATGACCAACCGTCGCATTATCAGCGTCGATCTGAGACGACACAAGTTGTGCGCGGTGACAGTCGTCTCCCCCAACGAGCTCACAAAACACGTCTGCGCACGAGCGCTCATTCCTTGCAGGATAAATCTGATTATAAAATGCTAACTTGCAATTGTCCGGCGCTGCTTCATTGTCAAAGATCGACCGCAGTGACTCCAAGCACCTGAAAGGTCAAAGACGCATTTCACATCCACAAAAAGTCAGCAAATAATTATCCAGAGGTCGGATTTAAACAGACACAAGTAAACTAATGTGTATATGTGGCACCCGCTCACCTGGTCGAGTCGCGGTAATTGGCCGCCAGAACGATCGTGCGACGTCCATTGACAATCGACCGAGTAGCTACAAGCGGCTGCGACAGAGAAGTGACAGCTTCTGCGTTGTCGTCCGTGCGCAAACGCCGCTCTGCTCAACAACGAGACGGATTCCTGCTGTCGTGCAGGTAGTGTACTCTAGTAAATAGAGGAACTCGTACAGCACCACAACGAGACAGATGGCGGGTACGACAATGAGCAGAGAAACGCACAGGTCACATGCGCTCCTCTTTGCTTCTCGCCGCGAGAGCTCACGCGGCCCGAACGGCTGAATTGCTGCTCGTATCTCAGGCGTTGTCGACGTTGTTCGGGACGCTGTTAAAAATAGGAAAATGGTAGTATTAGGGGTACTTATAGTGGGCACCGGATAATGAGAGCGGAAGATATTCGCAAGGCTGTGTGCTGACACAAAAGAGGCCTGCATTACGAAGGGGTGTGTGTAAAGTAAAGAAAATTATATGGCATTTTGTATGAATAAGTGTGCAGGTACTTAGTTAGGGAGGTTACGGTGCTTAATGAGAGGCCTCTATTTTAGGGGTGTGTGCACGCATCAAAGGGTGGGTGTGTGCCGATAAATCTCCTTGACATAATGGCCTATACCAGCCAATGAATAAAGCAGCACCAGGTATTATCTTGAAAAGGAATATTGCAGGAATACTACGTTTGAGGGTCACCTTTTAAGGAATATAAATAAATAAAGCCTTTTGAATATTAACCTCAAATGTAATACTCGTGCAATACTTACTCAGCCACGTATATATTGACGAATGTCATCATGTAGGTTAGTATTCCCATCAACCCACTTGAGGTGTCAATGGCATTTAGCTGGCTCACTCATTGACAGTACTGGCGTACATGTCCGTGTAGGTAGAACTGCGTGTTGAATGGACATAATATGATCACCCTCTGACTCGTAGAATGGTTAATGAAGATGTAATCCTTACACGGCTTTTGGTGCAACTGGGTGTGGGAAGGTCCAGCTTAGTCACTTGCGTCTACATCCTAGCCGATACCGAGCTAATGACCATGACGGTTACTCATAGCATGCGTCGAAATTTCGTTGTAGCTAGCTCCTCCCTGCACTACTTACGAACGATTCGTTAGACCGCACACTGAACTCGTTGGCTGCCTCATCTATTGTTTCCGCAGTCGTCGGTACCTCAACCGGAACTTTAGGTCTGTGTGAGGGTACTCCAGTGAATCCTGTGCTAGTGAGCACGATCCCAAACTTATTTTGCTGTGGATAGCGCCATAATGTTGTACAACTCTGTGTTGCTGAACAAGTGTGTCAGAAGACACCGCTTCGGCAAGCTCGGTACTTCCTATTGAGCTACGGGCTCCATTCTATCGTGACGGCTATACCTCCTGCAGGCTGTGGAGCCGGGGCACTTCGTTCTTCGATACCGATTTTGACTAGCTGTTGATTACGCCCTGCAGACGATGTCAAATGTCTATATATGGTCTCGAACTGAACCTGCTATGCCTTTGTTCGTAGTCGCAGACCATCTAGCACCGTATTGATTGCTGTCGCCAGCTTTGTAATCACCTTGCAAAAGTAGGAGCGAGGAAGATTGACTTGTCGCACTGTACTTGACCTCAGCGAACTTATTTGGAGATCTACTGCACATACTGAACAGATTGCTTCTGCACATGCATGCACTTGTGAGTGAGGAGTGGGGGAAGATTCTTAGCCAATACGCACGTTCTAACCGGACATACGACAAAAAACAAGTGTACTTGTGAAGTCAATGAAATAGATTTCTTCGCCACAACAACACTATCGCATACAATGGCTTGGCACTATTGTTCAAGCAAGTTGCTGGGCTTTCGGAGTGAATAGTAAACGCTGAGTCATGATGAGTTGTATCGTTGCATTCTCTCACTTTCTATCCGAACCAAAGGCCAAACAGCAGTGTAGGATGCCTGAATGACGTATGCGAAAGAGGTAGGATTGTCGCTTGAGTACGTACGACTAACCAAGAATGTATCTGTGCGACAAAACCTCCCTGGCCCTGGCCATGTCTTCACCGGTTTCCTGCTTACTACATCAGTCTGCTGATCCAACAAAAAGCGTCAGGCTTTACGAGAGGGGGACTCCGCAAAGGGCACGATGATCGTTGACCGATCCCGAGATGTCTGCAGGGACACACTTCGCCTTGAAGTGGAGACCTAGAACCACTTCGGCTACCCCAGACGGGCTATCTTGACTATTCCCTCGCACGAACCTACGCTACGGAACTGTACAGGACAACTTTGCCATCCTACTGATTTCTCATCGTCAGTTTAGATGCGCACATGTCAGATAAACCAACGACTTGGAAGAGGATCTTAGAGTGCATGCATAGTTTGTACCTCAATATAAACGCTCGATGCTTCGTTGACGTGTTCCATGCTCCGGACCTCATGTCGATTGCCCATTTTTGTTCCGCACGCTGCGATGCCTCTCGGTGCTGGCGCAACGGCAAGAAGGTCTGCGCTTATCGGTCGTTGCCCTGTAACGAGGCACACCCGCCAAAGGCATGGGGTGGCCAAGAAACTGGCTCGTTAGAGGCCTAATTCGCTTGGCTGTTGTTGCTTTCAAGCTCAGACTGAGAGATGACTCGAGTGTTTCCTCATCAAAGACTTTTTGCGGCGGTGCACGGAATAAGGTGCTTTAGACTGCCCCAGCACTGAGTGCTGCCACCAGTGTACAGCCCGGTGACGCACCGCCACCACCGTCCGGCGTCAGGTGTGCAGTTTGCGCGGGTCCAGATACGGAAGAAGGGAATTCGCCATTTTTGACGGCTAGGAGCTGTGCTAGGAATCGGATAGAGCCGTTGCTCTCGTGGGAATAACGGCTCGTGCGACAAAGATCGTTCGTCAAATGTGCGAGCGAAGTTCCGCTAAGCGAGTACATGAAGACCGACGCTCTCGGAAACCACTTGGCAGGGACGGCTTGTTATAGCGGACGAAAAAGAAGTGACATCAATGTTTCGTAACATCGTTGCGGACCGGCGATGTACGAAGAAGCGGCAGACGGAGTGTAGGGCAGAGTCGCATTAGCGTGAACTGGCTCTTGCGAATAAGGCGTTTCGCGCTGAATGTCATTGTAACAAACGAGCACGCTGCAAATCCCCTTATCGCAGCATAGTTTGCTCCAAGAGGTACGTGATGACGATGCTTACTTAACGATGTACAATATCGCCCGATCGTCATCCAATCTCACACGGCGTCGTTGGTAAGTTGAGATGGGTGTGCAACCTTTGGTCCGTACATACAGGTCTATGTCAACCTCGAGTGCGGCAAGAGACTTCTCGTACACCAAGCGTCTGGTCTAGCTGATCAAGCGGCACATGTTATCCACAGTCAAAGCGCAGCTTGGCGCATGGACCGCAATATTGCCTGATTGTCGGTATGAAGTCGACCCTTTGTGTCCTTCCGCCCATCGTATTTGTTACTAACAACGATGGGCGGAAGGACACAAAGGGTCGATTGTGTCTACGAGCCATTTTGATCGTTTCGCCTGTATAGCCGGAATTCTTTTGAAGTCGATGATCGCGTTCGTTCAACCTGCTGTTCTATTTACGTTCAGTTTACAAATCAGGGCTCAACGTCGTCTCATCCATGTTCAGCATATCACCCACGTTCAACAATTGACGCTAGCGGTCGATTGGCAAGTACCCGTATGACTTCCCCACACTATGGAAACAACATGACAACTCCAGGGACGAGTTCGTTGCGCGTCCGACAATCCGACATTTTCTAGTCGGCTGTGGCTAACCGGGAGCGGATCAGTAAACTGGAGGTGGCAGCAATATCCCAAGATGACCAGATGTTCTCTCGAGCCATTCAAATACGTTCTGATTGGCGCAAATATGCCACGCGAGCAGACGAAGCGTGTCTTCCACCTTTCAATCTGTTCGTCAAGACGCTTCACTTTCCCACTGCCCACTGACTATCAAAAGACTTCTGGAGGTACAAGAACCGTCCGTACCTGCTCAACAAACTCGCCCGCCAGTTGTCTTCAGCTACGGTACACACACTGCAGTTCTCGATTCACTGTCTTTCTGCCATATCCAATCCTGAAGCTAAGAACGTTTCGCTGTACAGTCATCTCGCCTAACTGCCGTTTCTTAGTACGGCTCGTACGCTTCACTTCGAAATCCACCGACTTCCGTCGCAAACGTCTACAATCCGAGTGCGACTGGCACTTTCAGACATGCGTTTGCTCGTTGACTTTCTGCTGTGCACTGCCGCCTGTTTCGCCGTAGTGAATGCGCTGGCGCCAGATCCGGCACTTGGCGTATCTGCTCAAGAAGACACCTCCAGGCGCTTGATATCCTTCGCACACGAGCAAGAGGAGGACCGGTCGCTGACCCTACAAGCAATTCTGAAAAATTCTAGATTGACATCACGCATCAATGAGAAAGCTATGGCAGGCACTCAGCTACGCCAAGGGGTACACATAAGTTTACCGACGGTACAACCTGATGATCTCGATGATCTAGCGTGGTCAACCAAACTGATCGCATCGAAGGCGATCGCTCCGCTGAAAGAGCAAGCTACGAAGCAGCAGATCCAGCTCCTTCAGCGTTATTTGGACAAAGGCGAATCCCCTACAGTGGTGTTCAAGTTACTCGCGCTCGACAAGAAAGCGGATGGCATCCTGATGAACCGGGAGTTGAACACTTGGCTCAGCTACTCAACCTCATTTCTACGCGAGTTTCCGAATGAAACAAAAAAGAACGTGAGTTTACTCGACATGCTCATACTTCACTTTGAATCCAGTGGTACCTCACGTATACTCACTGCGTCCAAAGGAGAGAAACCCAATCTGGCCAGTTTCTTGGAGCGTGAGCTGCTCGAGCGATGGCACAGTAAGCTAAAGTCACCAGCTTACGTGTACAGGATGCTGGGAAAACAAGCGCTACATGATTACCTGCGATTGATTCGTTCGGCCGAGCCTTCCCGCAGATAGCCGCGTGTGCTGCCTTAAACGGCACTTCTCCATGCAAGAACGCATACTCGAAGATTGTGTGTGCAGCCCCGGCAGCATGTGTGGTGTGTGTGTCACCTACATCGAGCCATGCTACCGATGTAGCATTGGTTTGCGTCCGACTGGCAGTTCAATCACATTGCACGATGTGCACCCTCAGCGACACCTTAGCGACGGTAGCGGCGGTGGCGAGTATCAATGGACGGCACGATTGTGGTGCCGCTAGTAGTTTTCGTTGCAGCACTCGCAACTTGCCCCTGTGGCATTGGAGCTATTCTGCTGCGTGTCTGTGGACCGCAAACGATCTTGCGGACACAATACCAGACCAGCTGTATTGTGTCTTTTTCGTGGCCGGTCATTTGAAGAGCTTCTTGCTACACCGTTGCATCGAAGTGGCGCTGGACGGTGCACACACGAGAGTTTGTACTACAGAAAGTGTGCCAGCGTCGTCGACACGGGTGTGTCGCTCCGTCGACAATGCGCCGGTCAATCGATTGCGTAGCTTTCGAGCGCGCCACGCTATTGCTGACGTCGTGAAGAGGGGAGAGTCTTACAAGATATGAATTCAAACTACAGGTGTTGTTGCATCAGTCATAGGAATGACCGGAAGCAACGTTGATAATAGCAGACCATTTGTTCGTATCTTTGTGAGCCTACTCGGTCCTTGCGCAGACTAGTCAATAGGCTGCCCTCGACTGCTAAGTTGGATGCAATCAACTCGTTCGCGTCGAGGTCTCATTTTGCGTGCTATAGAAGTTGTCTGTCAATACGGCAGACGCAACGAATACCTTGTGACCATTGAGTCCGACGTATCCGAAGAGTGAACACTTCCTTGTGTTACATACTTGGGTATCATGCGAAAGCTGCAGACACCATTGTGCACACTGTTTCGTAGAGTTCAGACACAGGACCTGGTGTCGTCTTTGATCATTGTCGCTTTCTGAATTTGTGGACCAGTGTGCGACAACTACTACTACTTGACAATCAACACTTGTTCAATTGCTTCATGGCTGCTGTGACTCAACCATTGACTTTGAGTAGGTCCAGCATTTCGCTCACACTGCCGCTCCAGCGATATACTGATACAGCTCCACGAACGCTATTGCTCCGTCTTACAAATCAGCCAGCACAGCACCTAGCAATGCAAGATGCGTTGACTCCATTTCACGAAGTCTAGAGCAGGTGAAATGGTTGGATGGAAGGAAGTTGATGCGAAAAGAACGGCGTTGATATGAAAAGACCGGCGCAAAAAGTAGAACGAGGCGGTAGCGCTTATCGTTCTGATCGAGACACTCGACGAGGTCTCGTGTGAGAGACTCGTTGGATTGGTTGTGTTCCGCACGAACGAGTCAAGCGATTGATGCGCAAAGCGTCCACAAACTGATGAAGTACAGGATGTAAGGTGTTGAGTCGAAACCAGAAGAGTGAGGAGTGGGCTGTTGTATCAGTCAAGATCTACTTCCACTACCATCAATGTTTCTGCGAGGTACGTACTATTTTCCTGCCTCTTGTCTACAACCACTACCTCGAAGTACTCGCACTTTGTCATGATGGAACGAGACGACATGGAAGATCATCGAGCTTGCTACATCGGCCACAACTATACAAGACATACACCACAATTCGATCGGCTGCGCTGGTCCATGACCTCCGAGACACAAGTGATCCGCTTCTAGCAAACTCACATCGCTCGTCCACGACCACAGGCACCAAATACGTCAAGACCGAATCAGCACGTCTACCAGTCACCCAGTAGCAATTCCCATCCCAAGCAATCGCCACCAAAGTCGAACCATTGCCACAGTCAAGCCAGGATTAGGACATGTACTGCATCGTCTTTTCATAGACCAAGAACGTGACCGCGCTGACAGGAAACGCCCGAAGCATCGTTGCACTAAAACCCTTGAAAAAGAATCGCGGTCCCTCCTGCTGCAGTCTAGATTGGACGATCTGAGCGATGCTCACCTGCTTGCCCTCGAGACTCTGACTCTGTACGCAGCTCTTGACCACGTCTTGCGGCATGCTCACGACCCACGAGATCATGCCAGCCATACCTCCTGCTACCATGAGCTTCATATCCGTCTCGTTGTCACTCTCTCCATGCGTGAGCGCTCGTTTTGTGGCCTCGTAGCCACAAAAGTAGGCCCCAAACGCAGGCACGTCTCTCAAGAGACACACTTGCCACCCCTTGAACAGCGTTCGAATTCCATGTGTCTGACAAATGGTCTTTGCCGCAGCGAGAGAGCTCACGTGTGAACCGATCGCACCTGTCTGTACCTGAATTTTCACGTGCTCCGATGGCGCCGCGAACAAAACCTGCACGAGTCCCGCACTGGACCCGGCGACAAAGTGCTCGACACTTGACAACGGCCGATCGTGTTGCAGCTGCAGACCACGGACCACTTGTCCCTGCACGCCAAAGACCACGGCGTTGATGGGCGCGTTGCTCAGGATGGGAGACAGCAGACCGCGGTAGAGGCCCGCGACGCCTTCCGAGCTAACGACACGTCGCAGCGTCCGTAGGACCCCCACACTCACCTCGCGGCTCGTCTGCAGCTGCACTTTCACCGTGTCGAGTGGATGGCCCGCCACGATACCCGCAACGCCGCCGATCGTGCCGGCGTTCAGGTCCTTTGCTATATCCAGCCACTCCATTTACGAGGAGGTGCAAACGCAAGTGACGGGTCAAATCGTGCTGGAAACCTCAGTGAAGCGTCGGGGGTCGGCCAGGATCGCAATCCACGTGGGTGGACGAGTGACTGACTGACTGACTGACTGCTGGGAAAGCGGCCACACGAGTCTCGGAGCGCGCGACTCTTATCCGAAGCTGGTAGACAAAACAACTGTAAATACGATCAAAGCTAATGCAGCGGATCAGATACAGCAGAGCGCTATGCGACCGAGAGAGAGGCGCAGAAAAACGCTGCGCAGACGTCGAGTGCGTCAAAACGTCATGTTGCAAGCAACTCATGGAACTCGACAGTCGGTCGTGGCTCCGACGGCGATGGGCGCGAGGCGCTGCGATATACGGCATGCTACGGAACAGCAGTGCGAGCCGTTTCACAGCACCGACATGTTTTCCGTCGATGCTGATAGCCTTTACTCGATGTTTGACGGTTGCACCACATGAGCTGATCTCTCTCTCTCTCTCTCCTGTAGCAGCTACGTGCAGACACGTGCTCCTTCCTCGAGGCCTCATGATGGCATGCTCGTGGGCCATTCATTCGAGCGTAGAATCCATTCGAGCCCGTGCATCGATGCAAGACCGAGCAATGTGTGGATTGCATACAATTTATTGAATGACCTGGGAGCTGCTCGTGTGCATCGACTCGGACACGGACTTGAAGCCCGACAGCGACGAAGCAGTAGCGCCATCATGCGCACGCGCCGACGAGATTGCATCGTACTGTATGCATGCACTTTTGTGTGCAAAAGGCTTGGAATCCGACACATGGGCGGCGGACGGGGTCAATGTGACGACTCGACAGTCGCTAGCGGCAATTTGCTCAGCAACGCACTGTACAGCAATGCATGTCGTAGGAGGAGGTTTATGCCGAATACACATATACTCGCTTCTACCGATTTCTGCGGCAGCGCATACGCTCTTAGTGTACAGGCTTTATGAGCCTCTTATCTTCTTGCATGACAGGCTGTTACTCATTAGAAATAGATCCTCGTCAGTGTAGCTGTCGCGAAGGATAACCACGTGGCTCAGAGCGCGCATCAACGTCATCGAGCTACGCGAGATCCTAGACATTATGGGACCATCAAACAGTGGTTGACACTTGGATATTACTGACGATGGCGCAAGAAAAGACGCGAGTGCTTGTCTTGTGCCGCGGGAAGAAACCCTACACTCGTTACCGTCACTCGCATTTTGAAGGTGTTCTGGCAGCGGCGCATCAGTGTGCGTGTTGCTGCATATGAACGATTACGATAGATTCCTACCTTCGATCACTTATTGAGGAGTGCGGCATCGGAAAAGGCCACAACAAAGAGTAACACTTGAAGAACAGCACATGTCATACACGGGACGTTCAGTCTATATCGAGAGTGGCGGCAAATGCTGATTGTCAAAGTCGAGCTACTAGATCAGATCGCCGCTTTGTCGTGTGCTGTCGTTAGTAAGGTCTTTATTGGACGCAGGACATGGCTGACAGATTGCTACCCGAGGCTAAGAGCACAGACGAAAACAACTAGGATGAATGTACAGCGAGTGGTGATATTCTTGACGTTCGTGCAGGTGCACAGGTATCGATCGTCGAAAGAGGGGGTACATGCACATGTGATAAGCCTGACGAAGCAGAGTGGCGAATGATGCTATGGTTTGCTGCGTGTTGGCCACTTCTTCCATCAATTGGCAATACGGGAATGTCTGTAATATTTGACGACATCATACGTCTACAATGGACACTGAGCGTCAGAGGCGAACATCAACATGGTGCGCCTGCTTTGATAACAGGACGGGGCTGTCTGTGGTCGCTGTGATGCGTCCACGTAGCCGCCCTGTAACGGGGTGAGTCCGTCAATTGTCATACACATATATATATTTTGATGTGAAAAATACCTAAAATTGATAAAATTAATCAGAATTACCTGTCTATAAAAAATTAAGAAATCTTACCTTCAACAAGGGATTTTAAGGCCGCTCCCGTTATTGGTTGACAAGGCATTGATATCTTCCAGACTAAACACGCATCGCTGCTAGGTGCGCGCAATGGGTGGTGAAAGAGAACCTACATGGATGTTTGTAGTTCAATGTAGGAAGTCTCTGTTGAACCACTCACTTTTTTGCTAACTACCACTCACCCGTTTAATAATAAAAACCTTACGATTCATCCGCGTTTTGATTGGCAAAATGTAAATTTACAAAATAGACATAGAAATGCAACATTTTATGTGAAATCATAAAATCGTTCGAAAGTAGACATGTATAATCACGCTTTGTGGTTTTTACTGTATCATAGTTGACTTTCCGCAAGCGCAACCATGTCAAGGTACGGTCATTTAATTTTGGTAAGGACAATAGCGCTTCCAATCGTCCTCAGAATTCGGGGCCAACAAATTATCCAATGCAGTCACTGAGAGAGTCAAAAGGGGTCACCGATATCTTCTTATATTGTGTTTTTTGCTTCGCCGCAGTTACCGCGTCGACGTACAGGCCGCAAAGAATGCGTCGCAGCTTCATCCTGCGATGGAACCGCTGAATATAAGTATGCAATATTTTTCCCAGCGATTGGTATCCAAGGGCGCCAACAGGACTTTCGCCGCCATGCTGGACAGATGTTGAAGACCTTCGCTGCCGGTAGCACATCTACTTGGTCAAGGACACCTCGCTGCCTATAGGAGGTTCCATCTTCATATTTTACATGGATGTTCTTTATTTCTACCTAAGTGATGTGGGTGCTACATACATAACCTCTTGTCGAGGAGGCTGCAACGACCACCATTGTAACGGGGCGAGCTCGTTACATAAAAATTGATAAGTTTGTATCAATTTTTGAACATCATCTATTTAGATAATGTTCAATTGACATTACTCGTTACGAGTAAGGTTGAAGGAATATTGCCCCCGAAGGTAATATTTCGTTTGATGGGTTGTTCCACCTGATGGATGATGTTCACGGTACATCAACCAGATGAACCACCAATCGCTGCTGGACGCGCGCAATGGGTGGTGAGCGAGAAAGCCATATAGAAGATTGTAGTTTGATATAGTTAGCTCAAGACAAAAGATGATTTATTAAGAAACTGACCTACATTAAATAACAGCTCTGCTTTTTCCCTTAGACAGAGCTTTCGAGTTCTGCCTACTTCGCTGCGCTTCCTCACGCCACGTGTAAGTGAAGTCGAGTAAACACAACCTTGTGTTGAATTTACACAAGGCGTGTTCCGTTACAACCATTGTGAAGCAAACATTCATGCTGATATATGTGGTGGTCCAAATATCGAATCTGTGTTATAGCAAAACGTTTGCTATATAGCGAGCTAAATCAGTTTTGGTGTGTTCATGTTAGATTATTTGATTACCCATTAACTATATTTTAAAAGGTAGTGTGAATGGTGGTTAGTGAAGAGTGAGCGGTGAATAGCGGCTCCCTTAATTTAGCTTACGTGAGGTAAAGCAGGTTTGGCAAGATAGAACGTTAAATAAATGGGATACAGTTTACATTTACCCTACTCTGAGAATTCTTTACTCAAATTTATCGCTTATCCAGCGCTCATGCGTACGTGACATCAGGGAGCATGCGTTCTTGTATTGCAACAAGTACAAGGGTTACCAAAGCAAACATTAAGGCGATCGATATCCAGAAAGTATGGGAAAAGACTCCAATATATTAATACGCGCTACAGCCGCGTGTCCACCCCTGCCGAGGACCTCCCCATTCTCAGCTTGACCTCCTGATACGGATTCAGCAGCCTATAGCAAGGCCAACCTATGCGGCGCAAGCGCCTCCAAGTTCACGTGGGACGGACCCCAATACGGCTTATGCAAGCCCACGTAGAACACAGGGTGTGTGCGCAGTTTGCGCGGAAGGGTGATCGTATACGAAAGTCCCTTCTAGGCGACTACCGTGAATGTTCCATGAAGCGCGGACGCAACTTTGTCTTGAAGACAGCAGGCACTACGTTTGTAGGTAAGTGTTTATAATTGAGTAGAACTTGGTCTCCGACCTCATTACGTTCAATACAACCTCTGCCTATAGCATCAGCTTGTTCCTTCTGCTTGTCTTGGATATCAGCCAGTGCGTCACGCACATGTCGTAAGACATTCAATCGCGTTGCGAGAACTGGCTTACCTGTTTTGGAACAGTAGCAGAACTGATATCAGCAAGCCGATCGGCAACTCCCCCCCCCAAGCCCTAAACCACGCAGTGGTAGCGTTAAGGGAACGCGAGGGTGTGTGAGTCCATTCACATAGATCGGTTTGTATCCGGTGGACGCATGCACGGCGTTATTCAACGCAAATTAAACGACAGGGACCATCGAACTCCAACACTTAGGCATTTTAGCGCAAACACTACGCAAGATATCACCGATGATGCGATTCACTCGCTCGGTTTGACCATCGATCTGCGGATGATCTGCTGTGGACATGTTCAAACGTGTGTCGAGCACCTTAACGATGGACTTCCAAAACTTCTCAGTGAAGCGAGGATATCTATCAGAGACAATTGTTAACGGCAAATCGTGTTATCGAAACACTCGATCGATATATAGCGTAGCTGTATCTTCACCATCAATGGTATCTGGCACCGCCGCTAAATGAGCCATCTTGCTCAAACGGTCAACAAAGACCACAATACCTGTATTTCCATACGAATCCTTCGGTAATCCGAACAGGAAGTCCATGCTGATGGGACTTCAACACCCCTTGGGTACAGGCAAACTAGCCATCGGCGCGGCCGCGTGAAGTGATGGTTTTACCCGTTGACACGTTTCACACGTACGCACATATGTGCTCACCCATTTGTATATTTTGGGCCATCAATAGCATTGGCTAACTGAGCCGTAGTTGTTTTCACGACCGAGATGACCACTTAACGCAGTATCATGTGCCTCATAGAGGATCCGATACTTCAAATTCTCACCATGAGGGACAACGATGCAAGGTACATCCTCCATATCTGTGCTATAGCACAACAGGCCTTGGT